ACCTCCATGAACTTCTCCGTTCATTTCGGTTTTTCTAGATCTTAGACATACGGTACGACATACGTCGCAAGGCTTCTACCTGTACACAAACACAGAAAAACGCACACAAACATCCATGCCCTGAGTGGGATTCGAACCCACGATCCCGGCTTCCGAGCGAGCGAAGACAGTTCACGCCTTAGACCGCTCGGCTACCGTGACCGGCGGTCCTCTGGCTTATTCCCATCAAATTAATGTCGTACTATAGATATTACCATGCTGGGATAGCTCAGTCTGTATAGCGACTGAAAAGAGTGGGGTCGGAGTTCGAGTTCCGGTGGGGGTAAGAATATTTCTTCTCCAAGTCACCCAGAGTGGTTCTGGGGCCCACCCAGCCTTTCTGTCCAATAAGTACCACGGCCTCTTTCCTTAGAGGTAAAGCGGCCGAGGCGTGAAACTAATTATTCTCCTTCAAGTAGTGCCGAGATGGATATATACATCCGCTCCCCCGTACGCCTTTAAGGAGTAGTGCTTAATTACATTAGCACAATTACAATTTTACCTTTACAATACTCTGGACTTTAGAGACAGTTCTTAAGAATCCTTGGAAGGTTGATCAGCCCTCTCGTATGTCCTCTACCTAAACAGGACAACAGAGAATAAAAACAGATAGACAGGCATGCCTTGAGTGAGATTCGAACACACGATTCCAGTATTTGAGGACCTGAAGACATTTCATGCATTAGACCGTGCGACGAGTGTGATCAGCTCTCAGCTCTCCTACACATGTTAAATGCCACTCCTTTCTTACAATCCTCTATAACTCGTGGGCTATTCTACAGTGCTATACCATACATTATTTATCGTCGAAGTTTAGGATGATTGATGAAAGATAACTGGATAATTTGGGAGCACAATGACCGCAAAATTTGTCTGAGTTCTTGGGAACATTGGAAGTTGACCAACACCCATCACTACATACATGAATGTAGTCTTGTGTTTCAGTTATTATACGATACGGACTATACCTGTTTTCTTTGTGACGCTCTTCAAAATATTCTATCCTGCCACCATCACTCCAGATAGGGTCAACGCTTTCCCGGATTATAGGTTCATCAGACTTCAAACGCTCAGTACAGACTGTTACACATACCCACGCAATACGTATTGAAACCTCCAAGCAACTGTATTCAATCGATTTTAGCTATGTACACATCTGTGAGAACTATTCATATAACTGAAACAATATCATGTTTATGTGTACATACAGCTTACCATATATACATAGTATCTCATCATTAGTCACCACAGATTAATAGACACGGATAATTGCCAACGTCATCTATCATGCGGTTCATTTAAGCACCTGAGTTTCGGCGTCGTTCCAATGCCTACCCCTACTCAACCTCATTTCACACATATTAACTGAATGCATATACTCGTATAGATAGATGAGCAGCGTCATGAAATACTTTAACTTACGTTAGTACAGCAATACGTGATTTTCGTCTCACTCTACTTACGGTGTACTATATTACAGAACTTAATAAGTAACACGTTGGTGAAACAGCTGCTTAAGGAAAAGCACATTAATATTTGTGACCGCAAAAACAGATTAATCTTTACGCCAAAGAAGGTTTAGGAAGGAGAAGAAGACATCATTTGCTACTCTTTTGACTTTCTCTTCTACAAATTATGAAATGATATGTTTATATTTATCTGTGGTTCTGCAGCCCTTTGCTGGACTTTGGACGCTTTTTCGGTTTCTTCATTGTTTACACAGTCGGTAGGACTCCTTGGATGGGTGATCAGTCCGTCGCAAGGCTGCTAACTGCACACAAAACAGCTCAAACAGAATAAACGGACACAGACATGCAAGCTTCACGTTGGATTCGAAACCAAGATCGGCATTTTCGAACTGACAAAGACAGTTCGTGAGGCCACTGTGGTCGGCATCAAAAGACATAATTATCTAAACACGAGTATAACCGCTGACTGTGTTACAGGTGCAATAATGCTCTGAGCTTTTTGGACATCGGTTAAACTGTGTTACATGTCTCGTGGTTTTCCTCAGTCTCTTAAGTCAAGTGACTGTGATAGTCCCTCAAATTAGCCACGGTCTCTTTCAAGAAATTTTACAATTTTTCTTCCACAACGTCATGTCCTTCGGTGCTTAATACCAGATATTGACAGGGTCGTAAACTAANCAGAGCAGCCTGGCTCACACGGTAGCAGAGACCGTGGTGTGCTCGCATCGCGACAGGCCGGACTGAGGTGTCTCTCGTTCACCCATTTCAGTCTCTAACGCAGTCTAAATCGTTCATAAATTCTGCTTTACTTTAAGATGCCAATAAAGTCGCACTGCGACGTGTTTCGGCCTAACAAAGCCCATCTTCAGGCAATTGTTCACTAATTGGAAGTGCCGAACTGCACCAGTTCTTATGTCAGCGCATCCCATGTTATTGCATGTCTTCATCCGCACTGAAATGTGTTTGTTTGGGGATGAACACTGTCTCCTCGCTGCGCGTTACTTTCATTTGCGGCGCCCAGCTTGTGTCCCGTTCTTTTGTAAAGTTGTCTCCGTGCTTAAGTAATTAAGCACTACCCCATGAAGGCGTATGGGGGAGTGGATAGATAGACACACACATTTCCTTGACCTCGGCACTACTTGGAAGTGAATGGTCAACTTCACGCTCCGGTCACTTTACCCCAGGGGAAAGAGCCCCTGGTACCCATTGGATAGCATGTTGGTTGCAAACTAGGGTCTGTCTAGAAGACGTGAAGATTCTTGACAATAACGGGACTCAAAATCCCATCCTCGGTCTCCCAGTCCATAGCCAGAAGCTGTACCCACTGCGCTATCCCGGTTCCCTTCTTGTGTAGTTCTCACTAATTGGCCTGTGTCCCTGACAAGGTTTAGTCATATCCGCCAGCCTGTCCGAATGTGACAGCAGCGAAACAAAGGACTGATATGGACAAAACTCGATATGACAGTTACGCACAAAGCTTTGGTTTCGTATCGTTGCTACGAGAAATGGATAAAGTCCGGAATGTTGGCAGCCCTGAAATCACCGGCAGAGAAAGCATACCGGTACCTGCTAACGAGTATGATATCGAAGCGTTGTCCGAGTCCTAGTTGTGTTTCAGTAGCCAGTTCTGTTTACTAGCTTAAGAAGATTGGGTCGGCCATCTCAAGCACCTCTACACATACGCGTAGACTTTAGAATTGCTATGCCTCTCCCGTGATTTTGATTTTTCTTCAGATGTGTGGAGAGCATCTCCCTAAACAAAACTGTGTAGATGGTTCATTAAGTTAACGTAAGGCTTTCTAGCTGTCCAAATGCTTGTGTGAGAATGCTAGTGCCATGCCTTGCGTAGAGTTTGTTTCCTCTATACATAAACAGAACGACAGGATGTGGTTAGGAGAACCATTGACCAGTATTTCGGTAAATTATGTTAATTTTGAGAACACCGAAAGTCGAAATCGATTGGTTACTTGTCTTGCTTCATATTCTTACCCGGCGCTACAGGCGAGAGTAGCCAACAGACGATTAAAAAGAAGCTGGCCAATTGACCTGATGTAAGGTACCGAGGATCCGTCGCTGGACGACTCCTCATCAAGACACCGAACCAAACAGACCATTAGCTTAAAGAATGTAATTTCTGATTGCTGATTAATAAAATAAATAAAAAAAAAATAATCTTACAGTCCCTGTTTCAAATCTCGGCCCGCAGACCGGCTGTCCTGAATCAGTTATTTCGTTGTGTCTGTTAGTCCCTTCAGACAATGAGGTTGTGTCGTTAATGGAGCTACTGCGGCCTCATTGCGTAACACATTCCAATACGTTCTTCAATATTCGCCCCATTGTACTGCGCTCTGTGATCTGAATTATATTAAGCGTCGTTTAACAAGTCCTAAGCAAATAAGCAGGCCTGAATAAAACCAACCGGCCGGCACAAGAGAAGCCCAATCGCGGTGCGCAGTCTCGCCTAGACCGCGGTTTGTATTCACACATCAAATTCACGCTAATCTCTCAACTGTAACTTCCTTCACGAGCGTTCAGCTGCTGCAGGATTTTAGTGCTCTGATCAATGAATTGTTTCTAAACAGTACAAAAACTTTAGATCATACCTCACAAGAAATCCGCGACGTCTCCACTACAAAGACGAACTGGTCACTGCTGCTTAGGGAAAGAGTCGCGGGTAATGGCGAAAACCCTAAGAAACACACGAAGCACGTTCTGTGGGCAGAATGTAGAGTTATTGTGGCTTAAAGTAGGTCGTACTGGAGTAACCGCTGGACTTTAAGTTGTTAACTAACTCTCTGAATCACTAATCCCTTCAAAATAGATTTTAAAATTTCACTTCCTATTTAAGAATTAACACAATGAGGTTAGTGCTGTTTAGGGAAATAATCATTGTTTACTGTGAGACCCATACGGAACCAGTAAGTCCATTGCATGTTCAGAGCTCTGACAATTAGTACGAGTAATAAACAGAGCTTTAAGGGTCTCAGAGGAATTATTAAAAATTGAATAGAAAATAATTGGGCATTGAATATTATGGGATTACGAGATTCCAATTTGTATTATATACCGTTTGTTATAGAGTTCCTATTAGTGAATGTGGACTCGTCACAAGCGCGGATTCACAGAATGGCAGTTATCCCGAACTGTGAAAGTAGCTATTAAACCCTTTACAGCTGGTGTAATGCATGAAGGGCTTCAGCGCGGGAGAAAGTTATAGAAACGTAATCTCTAGCAGTCGAATACAAAGTACAGAGTGGTGAAGAAATATTGGACCGTTTTTAAATAAAATAACGTGTGAACAGGAAGGTGAAAATTACAGATTTCTCGTAGATACCTGCAGTATTCGTTGCAAAATTGACCGTAATCATCATCATCAAAAAATGACAATTTGCAGGCGAACTCCATTGCCACTTCTACGCTAATACAAGTCCGTAGGGATGGCTTCAGTGTGCTCCCAAGTGCGCTGTTGTAGGGCAGGGCATGTCTCTTGTACCTTGGCCGCAGGTAGCCACCCCACGTAAGGAGTCCGATGCCGAGAGATCAGGTGAGCAAGGAGGCCAGTTGATGTCCCGTAACGAGTATTGAGTCTCCATGCAGAGATGTCAGTAGGTCATGAAAATGCAGCTTTTAGCCAGGACAATTTCCAGCATAACTTTGCATCGATCAGAGTTCGCAGTCACAGCTCCTCATCCTTAGAGGAGGGGCAGTGTTGCCAAATGTAGCCACATTTAAGCTACGGAGAGGGCTTTCATGAAACCCATGAGGGCATTGTGAAGCCCAGTGCGCACATGTTGCTTGTCCTCTTAACCTGAGATAAGGAAGTGCGCCTCAGCTGACATCACCTGTGCGTTCCCTGAGACTGCTTGTTTCGCAACAAGTCCAAGAAAAATTTACAGATATGTACAACATGTGTTTAAATCCATTTAAATTTCGAATTGGTGGAAAAGCAGGTCACGATGCAAGGTTCGGACAACGCTCCCCAATCTTATTCCACTGAACAAGACATGCCCACTAGCAGAGTGACGCTTTCCTTTCCATATTCACACTTTCAGGCGTGTGGACAGAATGAGGACACTCCGTTTGTCTCTAAGTCGCCACGCTACACTTCTGCCCGCTATACGAGAGCAGTGTTTGCAAATACAACACCCAGAGGACCACTCTGCTTTGCAAGTGGACACACATGGCGGTGGGCGTCGTTAGGTTCAATTTTGTTTACATAATTCTTAGCAAAATGCTCCTATACATTCATTAGCTTTACAGTTTCACAAACCGTCATGTATTTTTGCCTCATCTTGTATTTAAATTAACAACGGGCTATCGTACTTTATTCTTGCTTCCCTCGCGCGAAGACAAGGTGTGGTCAGGGCCTGAAGCACACCACTCACCTCCCTCTAATGCATACGCGTTGTTAGACTGCCAATCTAATTTCATGCGAGGTGACAATATTTCCATTGTCCTTTCTGTGCCGTCTTTGGTTACCCTAAGTGTGTGGACGGCGCCATCTTCCGTCCTAACACTAGTACCAGTCTTATGAACAATTAATTACAATGGAGATTCTTCATGCACGCGAGGATGTCACTTTATCTGATGCTTCGTATGAGTTCGAAACACAGTCTTGTCATTTAAAGAGAACAAAACGAAATTAGGTTTGCTGAGAACAGGATGCTGAAGAGAATATCTGTAAGCGGCACGGCAGAAATGTAGGCCGGAAACAGGATGCTGAGGAGAATATACGTAAGCAGAACGACAGAAATGTAGGCCGGAAACCGGATGCTGAGGAGAATATCTGCAAGCGGCACGACAGAAATGTAGGCCGGAAACGGGATGCTGAGGAGAATATCTGTAAGTGGCACGGCAGAAGTGAAGGCAAGAAACAGGATGCCGAGGAGAATATCTGTAAGCGGCATGGCAGAAGTGTAGGCCGGAAACAGGATGCTGAGGAGAATATCTGTAAGCGGCACGACAGAAATGTAGACCGGAAGCAGAATACTGAGGAGAATATCTGTAAGCGGCACGGCAGAAGTGAAGGCCGGAAACAGGATTCTGAGGAGAATATCTGTAAGCGGCACGGCAGAATTGAAGGCTGGAAACAGGATGCTGAGGAGAACATCTGTAAACAGCACGACAGAATTTTAGGCCGGAAACAGGATGCTGAGGAGAATATCTGTAAGCGGCACGGCAGAAGTGAAGGCCGGAAACAGGATGCTGGCAGAATATCTGTAAGCGGCATGGCAGAAGTGTAGGCCGGAAACAGGATGCTGAGGATAATATCTGTAAGCGACACGGTAGAAGTGTAGGCCGGAAAGAAGTGTCCATAACAAGTAGTGACCACATTCTTCATGTTCGCCGTGTGTCATTGGGCGATTAAATAGAGGATGATGATATGGCCGGATGTGACACACAGAAAAGATGGGAAATTCAGGCAAAACTGAAAACCTGAGGAGACAGCCTGCAATACGAACGCGTTGATGGCAGAATATTCTTAAAGAGGACCTCAGTCCAATAGAATTAACGCTGTGGACCAAATACATGGTACCCATAAGAGGTACCAATGGTATGCTCTTACATTTAATGTAATGAACTTTTGGGTTCCGTAAATGTGAGGGTCCTCATGACGAAATATCCACTTATTAGCTCCTCGAAATTACTTTGTTTCACTGTTGCTCGAATCGTGTTGCAGAGCCAAAAATAAATATCTAACATGTAGAGGCTCAAATTTGAGATGGGAGATTGTAAGGCATTACCCAAATTGTTCAAGACTTGCGAAAAGCGTTTCACAGTTATTAAAGTAATCTGTCAACACCTGGACAGGCAAATAGGTTAAGAATGTTGATGATCAGCAAGTATGTGTAACCGCAGTAGCAAGAAGCTTGCCTCACTAGGCCACTGGAGTATCGTAATATTACCGCATACACAGCGATGAGACGCCAGGGGTCCGCCCACAACCACCAATAAGAACCAATTAGAATATTACTATGAGAATTGAGGACACTGAGGAGGAGTTACCTACCCTCTGTCGTCAACAGCTGAATTAGCAAATTAAAACTATAAATTACTGAATTTCGGGGGACTTGGGATTATGATCTAACACAGAATATTCAGTTGTCAGCCGGAGGCGCTATTCAGTATGGGTCTGACGAGTGCTGGAAGACAGCCTGCATTCTTCTATGTCAAGTATGTCTCTTTACGCATAACAGCCATGCTGGTTAATAATATTGTTGACAATAGTATTGTGGATAAAAGTGTTGTTGTGAGATTTGAATGTGCAAACTCAAGTGTACCCGGTGAGCCCTGAGGGGAGGATGCTAGAATCATGTAATTGCCGAGGATGTTAGTCAGGCAATAAGAGTGTTACAGCGTATGTGTCGTGGTTATGGTTAGCATAGTCTGTGGGTTTTAAGATGTAGAACTAGGGGTAGCTTGTATAAGAGTGAAAGAACGAAGGACAGTGTAACTGTATTTAATGAATAGTAAGGAACGGGATTACGTGGAAAGATTAATCCTTGCCGATAGTCAGGAGTCGAAGAGAGAGAGAGAGACTCCAGTTACACCCCCGAAGGGGGGAGGTTCCTAGCGTAGCCGCAAGTCAATTCACTATGTAGTCCCGACTGAAAGTCGGCCCGGTAATAATGTAAATATTGTAAATCATGTAAATATAAGAGTGTAAATAGATAGAGTAGATAGGATAGGATGTACCGGGATTGTGATTTACCCCTCTATAATCAACTTTCCCACGACCGATCCCTAGCCATCCTGAGCAAAACGAGGGCTGAACGGACACAGGCAACAGTTAGTGGCCTTGATACCAACGCCCCTTATGATGTATTGATGATGTAACACGTGGCTACCTGTAAACTATATGAGGAATGGTCAAGATGGAGCTATGACTATATGCTCAGGAGGTAGTCCCCACGATAGAAAAAGACAGACGATAGGTAGAGGCGGGTCAGACCAGACACGCCCGCTCTACGCCAGAAATAAGAGGTGACAGCGCCGAAAGGGCCAGCCAACAGAGAACGCTCGACTACGCGCTACCGGCCCTCGGTACTTACATCACCTTTCTTAGGTCATATAATAGATGGTGGCAGCTTTATGAGAGAAGGAAACCCCGAACAGGAGAATCCTAGCTAAGGGTGAGCTAGGAGTATTGTGTTAACTCCTTACAGCATAAGCTGGGGTGGCAAGGAGGGGTACCTGCACACCCCCGTCGTCACGACGTTACAAGTGGTACCAGCGTCGCGACATTATAAGTGGAGGCGAGGAGGGATACCTCCACGCCCCCCTGCTCCGCGGCGTTACATAGCATGTTTGCAATCGCTGTTAGAACGTGACGGCTAGCTCAATAGTTAATGAACAGAATGCAGTTGTCTGGTTCCACATTGTATGGAGCTGTTCTGATTAGTGCAGGAAGTGAGTGTACACTGATATTACATGGCATCCTCTGAATTAACACAGCGCAAGGCAGGTCTTTCGAGATGGTTCTCACAAGACAGTCACTGTAATAAGATAAGCCATTACATGAATAAATTACACTCTGTGTGCGGGTTTGGAAGCTCAGAACACTCCTGTAACTCTGGCTATAGGGGACACAGCACTTTCTAGCATCTGACTATTGAAACTAGTACAAGAAATATGTGGAGAGGACGCATATATTTTCACCAACATCAGAGGATCCCTCGTCCTGCAAAGCGCATGACAGTGGTTTCGCTAAAGCAGACAGACTGTACATAACGTCCCTGTGCAAGTACGTGCTTTCCAGTCCATTCTGTGTCGGTACTGGGCTGGAGGCGATTTTACCCCATGTTGTAATGGCTCAGCAGTTTCCAATTACTGTAGGCTTGTTTGCTGTTATTTTACGAGCTATGATTCCAATTAAGGAGATATAATATGAACTTTTCCATTAAAGTTTATACAGTTTCGCCTGTGGTGTATATGCTCTACCTGTTTCCTATTAGATTCATCTTTCCTTCAGAATATTTACCTGATCGCATGAAAACAAAGAGAACTTGCCGTTCATCTTACTTATTTATGAGCTAATGGTTTCGTAGGTCCTATTCATTTTTTTAGTTCATTTTTTTTTAATTCGCATAGTGGGGGGTGGATTCCAGTTGGGTCCACTCGGCAGGGCGGCCACTGATTGGCCTATTGTACCCGCCCCGGGTGGTTATGATGGAGAATTTGGTGGAATTAAGATTGCCAGGTGAAACCGAAGTACTCGGAGAAAACCTACCCCAGCGCCACTTTCTCCACCACAAATCCCACTTTACCAGACCCGGGTTTGTACCCGGGCCGCCGCGGTTGGAAGCCAGCGACTAACCGCCTGAGCTATGGCGCGGCATTGGGCCCTATTAAACTCTGAGCCGAGCACTGGATACGGGGGGGGGGGGACATTTGGAATGCGAGTTTTATAGATATATAGAACTATACGAGATGGGTAGCATATACGAATGGGATTTCAATTTGGAGCAAATGTGGTGCCCTAGTTTAATCCAATTGACGAGTAATAAACTAAATTTCTCCCCGCTTCGCATTAAGCGCACTCTACACACACAGTCGCAGCCTCTCTAAACATCATGAGGTGGTTACATACTTACTGGTGGTTTCTGTAACGATGAGACTTAGCAGGCTCCTCTAGAGGCAAGTCTCTGCACAAGCATTCCGGGGTCCGACTCGGGTTCTTTGTCAAATTCTTCAGTCCATTCAAGCATTTTCCATTTTATTGTGCCAGGAGGAAGAATGAATATTATAATTGTTCATCTTCACATATACAGTGTGATTCACGAAGTTTTACCCTCACTTAGGGAGGGCATTCCTGAGGTAATTTGGAACAAAAAATGTTAATATAATAATGGTATCCAACTCATAGTTAAAGAGCTACAGTAATTTGAAAACTGGCGAAAAATCTTTTTTTTTCTTCGAATTTCAGTCAAAACAAATTAGAAATACAATACAAACACTTTTTAAATCGTTAATGTTTTAGGAAAGAAGCATTATAAAACTTTTTTTTTTCAATTTCTTAATTTTGCATTGTGCGACATTTTTCGTCGATTTTATGTTACAGAATTACATTATTTTCAGCATACCATTCTGTAAACATACCAGTGGTTGCATATCACACCCTTCTATCAATCTGTTTCCTTTAAACTGTAGCGCTTTAGAAGACAACTGGATTTACATAAGATTTTCAAAAATGTCTCCCTGTGCGTCAACACAACGCGTCGCACGCGTATGAACCGCGCTCGTGGCATTTCGCAGTTCCACACGTTTGTTCCATATTGTCATCGCCGTATCCAGAATACGTTCAAGCAACGCTTCACGTGTTTGTACCTTTACCTGGTACACAATGTCCTTCATCCAGCCCCAAATGCAATAATCTAACGGCGTTAGATCTGGCGACCTGGGAGGCCAGGCGTTATTGCTTCCGCGACCAATCCACCGCTGTGGGAAATGCCGATCCAAGTGAGCTGCTACTGCACGGGAGAAGTGAGGAGGCGCCCCATCGTGCTGAAAGTACATCCGGCGTCTTGTTGCCAGAGGAACATCTTCAAGTAACTGTGGTAATTCTTCTAAGAAGTGGAGGTAAATCTCACCAGTTAAGCGGCCAGGAAAAATGAACGGCCCGATTAGCTGATCATACAGAACACCACACCAGACATTGACACTGAATCGGTGTTGAAAATTCGATTCTATCGTGGCACGGGGATTATTGTCTGCCCAAACTTGTAAGTTGTGACTGTTGTTGACCCCGTCCCGTGTAAACTGTGCCTAATCGCAGAACATTATCAAGCGTTACAATTGCCGATTGCCATTTAACCAGTTGCAGAACTGCAGACGAAGACCATGGTCTCGTGGTTGTAGGTGTTGTACTTGCTGTAAGTGATAAGGATGCAGCCCGTTCTCATGAAGAGTCCTCCACGCCATGGACTGAGAAACACCGAACCGCCGAGCTAGACGTCTTGTACTGGCACGCGGACTGCGCTCTACAGCATCGAGAATGTTTTCTTCTTCGCACAATTCATGTTGAGGATTTCGTTCGTATTGTATACGAACGCTGGGGAGAGAATCAGTTTGTCTTAATGTGTTGAATGTACTGCTAATGGATTTAGGATTTGGAATCCAGCGATTAGGATAACGCCGGTGATATTCGGCAGCAGCTGCTCTCGCATTTCCATAACATACACCCAAAATAAACACCAAATCGGCGTATTCCTCAGTGGAAAATGTGTACGACATTTTACTTCACAAAGTCACCAACACAACGTCCTGGATCGCTTTGCCTAGGATCGCGCAACATTCCAGCCGGTCAGCTTACCTGCTGACACAGCTGACTGGAACGCATGGTCGCCCAGGTGGAAAACATAGAGCTGCATTCACAATGATGCGTTACGAAAATCTATTGTTACTGCGTAACTATTGAAAATCGACCACAAGTTTATAAGGAAATTTTGCAGGAATATGTACCATAAGCCGGGGTAAAACTTCGTGAATCAGCCTGTGTAAGTATAATTTCTTAATTTATAAGTTGAAATTAAAAAAATCCCTCTTCTTACAAATGTTATAAATAAATATGATATAACCGCTTCGAAGCACTCTGCTTACTGTATATGCTACATGATTCAAAACAGTTACTGACTACCCCCGGATAGTCACACATTGTATTAATTCACTATCTTCATGGAATTCGATAACCATATTAACAACTTTTCAAGTCGACAAATTCTGAATCCTTCTCTTACCGTGACATTATGTTTTTCTCATTATTTTCGTAATGAATTGAAACGATTCCTTTCAAGAGAATTACCGCATTGGTCTCTGTGAGGAAGATGCAGTGTGTTTTCTATGAAGTAGGACCTCAATTGATAAATATGTCAATGGATTCCGCTTTTCACAAATGCGAAACAAATGAGTCAGTCTTACGTTTAAGCGGTCTTTTCTGAACACGATAACGAAACCTCATCTTCATAAGAAAAGCATGGAATACCTTGACCTGGTGAGCGACCGTTACCTTCCCAAGAAGGATTCTATGCCACGATGTTATGTTGTTTGTATTGTTGGGGCCACAGTTTCCTTAGCACATGTCACATGACCTCCCTGTACCACGCAATGGTCACTAAGAACCAAATTTATCCCCGCTGATCCCTCCTTACAGTGGCCTCATACTTCTGCACTCCTGTTGCTTCCATCAGGCTCCGGACCGCTGCCTGTATCTCACTACACCAATTCCACGTTTTCCACTATTGCATTACTTTCTGCCCTGAAGATGGAGACAACTAGTTTGTCCGAAACTTCTCAGAACATCTTCAGAAACACACGGCATCATGTCGGAGGAAACTATAATGTGCAGAGTGACCGCTGTGAGAACCTGAAGTCTCGCAGAGTACGTGAGAGCTTGTGTATTGCGACAGGAGCCCCCGGAACTGTTGTGAGTTGTACGCAGGCGCAGTGATAACGTGCTTCTTATGCAGGTGGAGGAGAGCCAACTGAGGCGTTTCCCACATCGGGATCGAGAGCGTCTGACGGCACAGCTCATCTTGGACATTGTGCAACTTAACATTGGAGCAGAAGGCCGCTTGGAACTCACCTGTCTCTCCACAATCCCAGCATTCCTAGAGCCTGAGCAGAGCGAGTATGCCGACAGAAAGACGAGTTCAGTAACAGGTGAGGCTCAGGTTGTGGCACTCCTAACATACTGCATGAAGAGCTAACTAACAAGTAAGTTGCAGAAAGTGAGGTGCTAATCATGTCAGAAGGTGAGTTCAGTAGCAGGCGCGGTGCAGTGTATCCCACGTTTGACACAGACAGGATGAGTTCAGAGCAGGCGCGATGCCTAGAACGCCAGGGGACGAGTTCAGTGACAGTTACAGTGAAGGATATGAAATGCCTAAATAACTAACTTACTCGCTCCTGGAGCTAAGCCCTCCTTGACAAGCCGCCTGTTGTGCAAATAATCAAGCACTTCCCAAAGATTTATGGAAACCAAATGTTCATTATCGTGTTCACAAGAGCCCCCCCCCTCCCCATCCTGAACCACATAAATCAAGTCCGTACCACCCAATCTTATCTCTCTAAGATCCATTTTAATATTGTCTACCCACCAAAGTTTCGGTCCGCCTAGTGCTTCCTCTATCTTATGTCTTTACTATCAAAAATCTATCTTCTCATTCGTACTAAGTACTCTGCATATCATATCCACTTTAACTTGATCATTCTAATTATAATCCATGAAGCTCCTCCTTAGGCATTATTCTCGAACCTCCTGCCACTTCAGTGTCCAAACATGGCATACCATCACACCAGATGATGGGTTCAGTAACGGGGACAGTCAGTGGTAGGACATGCCAAACACACCAGATGATGGATCCAGTAACGGGAACAGTCAGTGGTGGAACATACCCGAGTTCAGTAACGGGGACAGTCAGCAGTGTGACATGCTCAACACAGCAGATTATGAGTTCAGTAACGAGGATAGTGGTGTGACATGCTCAACACACCAGATTATGAGTTCAGTAACGACGATAGTGGTGTGATATGTTCAACACACCAGATTATGAGTTCAGTAACGGGGACAGTCAATGGTGTGACATGCCCAACACACCATATAATGAGTTCAGTAACGAGGAGAGTCAGTAGTGTGACATGCCCAACACACCAGCATACATTAAAACAGTGTATTAAAATTGAAGGTTGCATTTCAAAGATTCATGTTTCAAAAGCATGTAGAACCCCTACAGTTGACGGCGTGTTGGATAGACGACAGAAATGTTCATTTAGAGAATGCAATGATGTCTAACATAAACTGACCTGATAACAAGTTAACGTATATACATTCCTCGTTATTCATCAACCACTTATTGATAATATATAATAGCAAAGAATAATTTGTGAATTCATATGAATATTGTCGTGTTTTTGCCCTGGTAATATTTAATTCTTTGGTTGTGTTCCAGTGGACATCGAAGTGCCCCTGTCCAGTAGTCACGTTGACTCCTGCTCGGCAATGCTGATCGTGGGATCTCTATTCATCCTTCTGCGGTGAAGTTACCAGCTCCAGTGCATCTTCGGCGTTCATAACTTGCTGGTGACCCAAAGTGTTTAGCCCCATTGCTCCCATGATGTGAGAGAACTATCGTTGTTCACCTCTGAGTTAGTAGGCTGAACGAGTGCAAGTTGCTTTAAATATCTTGGACTTTATCCATCCTCTAGATCAGTGTTTCTCATCACATCGGACTGGTGGGACGTGACGGTCAGCTTGAGTGGATGGGCACGAGGTCTCGAAAATGATACATAATTCAAGTATAAAATTCAGTTATATTAATGCCTCTCCCTTTCTCCCTGTTATGGAATATTTTCATGTAAGATATCTTGAAAATACTCGAGTAAGATTACACAAAATCATTGTAAGCAAAACTATATTGTTATATAATTTTAATCACAAGATATTTTTAAAAATTCTTACAATCATGAAGTACTCGAGAACTACTTTGAGTGATTTATTATGACACTACAATGCACCTCCACGTATAAGAACATTTCTTGGCAAAAAGGAAGCTTTGTGCTTGTTCGGGTGGGACAGTAGTTTCTTGACGGAGAGACAAGTGGGACACAGCTGTAGGCAAATGAGAATCACCGATCTAGATATTTTTCCGCACCCCGCTTTTGGGGATTGCTTCCATGTTGGTCTGCAGGGGATTCCTAGTGATGGAATTACCAAAACTTTGGTTACCTCAGATTATTGTTGCCAGAAGACAGAAACAGATGCAACTTCTAAAGCCTATATAATTGACAAGTTCAAGTATGACATATTACTTTCGTAAACATAGAGCAATGAAAAATCCACGTCCTTAAAATAGATCCTTTATTTCCATAAACTCTGCACTGTCGCAAGTGGAAATGTACAAGAATACACTGTTCACTGTGAAAAGGATTTTCTTGGAAGTACCACATTTTCATTCAGTTACGTAATGCTTTTCTATTAATCTACTCCAGTGATCTCAGTTTCTACCTCGCCCAAGTGTTTACAGTCAGTGGAACATCTGCAGCATTTCATGGAGCTTTAATTTACATCATATCTTTAAGGATAAATGCCTAGTACTATCTTGCTTCAAAGTTTAAAATATCTCTCTTTATACATTGTTCCAGCACCTAATAACGGAGACCCTTCAGCTAAGCGGGTCAAGATGAACAAGCATTATTTAGTCCTTTTCATAAGATGGTGCAATTTTCTCAGAGAGGAATGAAGGGTTTGATACAAATATCATGAAATTGGGAATGGGAAAAATTCGTAAATAATATATTCATGCATATGAATATGAAACTAAAATATATGTTTTAAAATAAATTCCGTTATATTTTTGGGAGACATAACTCTTGCATTTCTACTTCAATGTTATTGTCTTTATTAATTAAACTTGACTATCAAACTAATTTTAACCTATGACCTTTGTGTACTTTAAACTTTATCGTCTTCTCGCACCAATTCCAGAAAACAATGTTATGGAACATACTGTGGCAAGACGCAAATAAATCAGAATTTGACGTTAGAGAAGCGTCGCGAAGACGTTCACTGCTACTCAGGACAATCCTAAAACACTTCTCAGAGGCAACGAATACAAACACAGCAGTAAAATATGGTTGGGACTGTGTTTTCACATCTGTTTCCAACGGAACCAGAACCCTGCTCAACTGATACTACTGCAAGAGTCCGACATGGAAAAGAGGAAAGAGAAAATCTACCTCCGATATACTAAAGACCACGGCAGGTGGCAGAGGGTAACTCATTTGCGCCACTCGTGGACATGCTCATGGAAAATGTGGATGCGAGCAGAGAGGGAGGCTCTGATGTTACGTCTGCGGCTGGTAACGGTGTGAGCATGCGTAGGCCACCCCCATTTTTATCTTCGGAGACCGAATTAATTAGTCTGCAAAGCCAAGTAGATTGCATGGCTTGTGTGACTATGACCATAAAGGTAGCATAGAGGCTAGAGTCTACCGTTGATGAAGACATGTGAGTGAAATTCCGGCCCCGTGACTTCACAAATAAATACACTACCTGAAATTGGGAAAGGCCTGAGGTTTTGATGGCATTCCAAAGGAATGTCTCAAACACCTTCCAAGAAGACCATTTCTTCATTCAGCAATTTTTATTCAACTGTAGTGTTCGGCTTTGTCACTGCTGGAAACTGGCAAGGACCCCCAAATTTCCCTAAGTTCTGGGTCCTGTAAACTTTTGTCTACCGGTAAATTATTTTAAGGCAATGGTTTAAGAACATTATATATACACATACATATTGAGAAACGAAAGATGTCAAAAGCAAGTCAGCTTGGCTTTGGGCATTTCACAGCAGATTTCTTCAGTGTATGAAGCTGACCGGCCGCGCAACTCAAAATCAGCCTGAATATGTAGACTGCTGCGGCATTTTCTGATGTCGAGAAACACTCTTGACACACCTTAGGAATGTAGCCTACTACAGAAACCATTAGAATTACGATTTTCTACAAACTTTAATAGGCTAATTGCCTCTCTTCTCAATAATGTAATATTTAAAATCCCCCCAGAAGATGAATTATATTGATACTGGAAATAGAGTCAGGGTGCCTCAAGCCTCCGTCCTGGACCCGGTATTGTACAGTCTATATATAAAACGATGCCCCATTGACAAATTGAACTCATCGTCCTCGGTTCGCAGGCTTTATCTCTACAATGAGCACCAGAGAAGCATGAACGTCAAGTTCTCTGCAAATTGCAACGCGGCCTCACTGCAGTGAAGTCGTGATATGAGAGCTTGGACATAAGCTGTATCAGTGGGAAAATCAGGCGATCTATTTCTCTAGAAGCCATACAGTCCCTGAAGACGTTCTGTAACAAAGGGGACAGAATATCCACTTTGTAAATAATGTAAAATCTCTTGGTGTCATCCCGGATAGGAGGATGACAGGGGGACTCCATATGAAAGGATTGTGCTAAGGCCGTAGGAACATTCAAAGGACCTATGTCCTATTAAAATATTCGTTTAAGCAATAATATTAATCTTATTCAGTAATGGTTTATACCTGTCCCACCTGATAGCATGCGGTGGACGCTCATTTCGTGAAGCTGCAGCGGGTGCAGAACTGAGTTCTTCGCGCTGTTCGCAATAGTGACAAGCGCACACCGGTTCGCGAAATGCACACGACATTCAAAATTATTTCCGTGTAATATTACATAACAAAATTGTGCAGGAAGAAAACAGAAGCTAACGAAGGCCAGCAGTAATTTATCTGTAACCAGAGGCAGGGGTCGTGAGAAAGAGAGGAATATGGCCATGGGTTCCTCGGGCCCCGGACAGAAGAATGACTTCTGACGAAGTCAGCAGCGATTTACTCGACATAACCAAAAGCTTAAACCGTCGAAGACGGAAATTTTAGCGAAACTACTCCTTGCTAGGAGCCGTAACCGATCAACAAGTGCGAGAAGATATGGCAGACTGTGACAGGAAACATTCTTTAGTATTTTGAAGATTTTGAAGATAGGAAGATTTTCGTGATCGTATTCAGTTAAATTCATTTGTCACTCCGCACCCTGTGTTTAGACACTGACACGCGACAAATGTTGTCAGAAGTTGCATTTAATTAAGTCGTTGGGATTTGATTCGAACCGGCTGAAGTGTATTCCTTTTACCGGCTTTGTAAATGATGTATTAATATCAAAATTATCAATTTCTACTGAAGTTGGAGTTTTGTTCACCTTCTGAAAAATTCTGTTGCCTGTGTAGTTCTTGTTAGCACGCAGAACACATTGCTTTGATATGTGCGAGCACAGTCCTGGCTTCTCCATATAAAATTACCTCATAGTTTGAATTCAGAGATGAAAGGTACTCAGAGTACTGTCTAGTCATCTCTGATTTAGAGTTGCAACCCATCATTAAAGTGTATCATGATTATTTATTTTTGACGAATATTTAAACATTATTTTATTTATTACTGTATTCGTAATTACATCCTCTGTGTAAACGTTGCAGATATGTTCCACAGATGCAGTGAGATGTGTAACGTGGCGTCGTTGATATATTTGTCATGCAGTTAAAGTAATCTGTGATTGATTATTACAATTATTATTATTATTGTAATTGTTTTAAATGTTGGTAAATGTTATATTCTGTTTCTGATATTTATTCTTGTTTGTTTCATTAAAATATTCATATTCATGTATTTCTATATTGATATGAAATTGCTCAAAATCAGTTTGTTTGTAAGACATACAATGACAGTTATCAGACACACTGTTACACACTAACTGCAGATTTCCTGCAATGGCTACAGAACAAGAATTCTTCAACATGCCCACGCGAGATCACAAAGCTTTATGAATAATATTTCTTATGTTGAGACGATATCAAATTAAAGCTTGCGGGTTTCACGGTTATTATTAGTAATGTGGCGCGTACAGCCTTTGCTATGTATAAAGGTAATAAACAGTGATCATTTCTAGGCAACGGCTCGGTAAACATGTTCCCGCTGCAAGGAATACGAAAAAAAACAATAGAAGAACGTTGTTTTTTATGTGGTCCGTGCCGAGAAGATGTAAACAGGACAGATGGAGCTATGAGTACAGTAGAGAGAAAGTTCTGCACGGGAGGCTATGTAGCGCGTGATTCTAAAGAATTTCTGCTGTCAGAAGTCGTTGCCAGACAACGGCTGGAAAACAATTAGCGTGTGCTGACTGTCATTTGTGAAGTGCGGTGATAAGGTTGAGCTGTAATTGCTTGTAGTTCCGATTGGTGTGTAGAAGTGGTCAATAAATTCATTCACCAATCGAAACCCAGTCTATAGTCACCCTTACACGTCATATTGTGTCAGAAGTGGGATTCGAACCCACGCTTACAATTTATGAGACGTTAAGTTTAGGAGCCGATCAGCTCAGGCGGCACGGCGAACAGAACATGGGATGGAGGAACAAGGAATTGGGTTTGATTCACAGGGTCAGAAATGCGTCCCTTCTCCGTAGCGCATGCGCTGGAACTCACCCGGTCTCCTCACCATTCTGTGCCGAGGGTCCTGTTCCCTGGGATATAGCTGCCGGGAATTGAAGCTGGCCTCTCGACGCCAATTCAAAAGTTGAGAATATATGGAACGATACCTCCGCTCCCCATATGTCTGTGGCATGGTGCTTAATCAAGTGCAGGAAAAGCTTCAACTATTGGAATACTTTGGTTGCTACAAGTTCCATAAGTTTTGACTTTAATATGCTCAGCATTTTGCCAACAGTGTATTTATGGTTTTATAACAAATCTCGCAATCAGCAGCTCTCATTTCTTTCTATAATATTAGCCAATCGATTCTTGTAGTGGAAGGTAACTGTGATTTCTGAGACGCAGAAACTGAATTTCTTAATAATCGGATGGCAATTAAGTTCAAAACGGTGTAGGTAGATATATTATAACATTCAGACCGACCAGTTGACGTAATTAAATATTTTTTGATCATTGAGATTCTTAGGTCAATTTGATTTGATCTGCTTATGGGCACTTATATTTGCAATAGAAAATCCTTCATTACCTGGAGTCTGCAGTTAGTGGGAATGTAATGCAATGTGTCTAGAATTGTACTGTAATGTGCTGAATATTGTATGGTTTATCTGTAAGCTTATACTGAACACATTACGGTTTGAACAATACTAGAATTTGTATCTGTCTGAGCAGCGCAAAAAATACAGGCGCAACTTTTGTGTTTGTCGTGTGTAATACTCTCAAGTGTTTGTGTGGAAGAAAAAGATAGCACAATGCCTGTAAAGTTCTGGAACTTTATCTGTGTTGGGGGAGATTCACTTCTGTATCCTGGCTACATTTCAGAAGTACAGTTTTATTCAGAAATGCAAGAAATACTTAACAAATGTCTATGTCATGTGTGGAATACGAAATCAGCAAACTGTGAAACAGAATCAGATAAACGCTTGCATGTTTTATCTCAGATTCGAATTTGATTGATATTAAAGAAGCTGCATGTTTTGACTTTGTCAAATTCGAATTAAATTAAAAAGAGGAATATGGTTTAGATATTATTTAATTATTATGAATCGCATTTATGTTTGTTGAATCATTGAATTCTTGAAGATATGAGTATATATCTAGGGTACACCCTATGAAATGATTGACGTATGCATGTGAATGTTGAACATAAAGTTTATGTTGCGTAACATGAAAGCGATGTGCTGGTTGTTAGTCTCCAATCATTTCATCTGTCTTAGAATATCTTTAAATGTTAGCCTGTGGAAAACAATTTACTCCTCGAGTTATGCATTTATTACTGTGAACCAGCGAAACCCAGTGTGAAGTGTTACATGTCCGTCTGTATGAGCAAGTAACATTTTCTTGTTTACACAGAAAACCAGATGCGTTCATGAGCTGAAGATAATCAGCTGCTCGTACAATCTTGTATGACTGCCAATAGAATCCTCCGTTCTATAGCCCGTAGTGTGTACATTTAGAGCATAACAGTACTTGGTGTTTAAAACATGTAGCTTACAATTATTTATAGCAGTGTTATGTTGGCAGGTGTATATTTTCTGAGGTATAACATATACATACAGGTTTTCATAAATACATTCAGAAACACTGCGTACGATCTACGTCAATTATACCTCCGAAACGTGACAAGACATGCCTTAGAAATGTACCACGTAATCTTCCAATTTATTTCACAAGACACAGAAGAAATAACAAGCGTTAAAATTCATACAGGCATTTCCCAAATTCCGCTCATAATTTCTAAGCAACCCAATAAATTTCGGTATAAAGAAGGTTCAATATTTGGGAGTACCTGCTTATGTGGAGCCCGACAGCCTTCGGTGGTTGCTAATGGATGAATTTCTTTCCCTCTTGCTTCAATTTACTGCTGCCGACGAAATGTATATATATATATATATCTTATAAAAGCTAGTGTTCGTCCGCAGTACACAATTCGTAGTGGGAGCTTCCTCACTTTGGTCACAAGCAAATCCTGCGCGATCTTAAATTTTCTTTTGTGACATTACAATATTTTGAAGTTGGAAATATGTAACTGACTCTGAACCTTGTGGGTCCAGTTCTTCCCCGTGCGCTTGCGCATTCTAGTGGCGATCTAGAACACTTCCATATTAGAATAATAAGAGAGTCGTTAACTCCTTCGGCTTGCACTGGATACATTCCCGGCGGGCACGTTGGCCATCCTACTTGAGGTTTCTCGTGCTTTATTCTTAGCTGTGCAGCTTATCTTTCAAATTCACAATCTTCATTCACGTGACCCGTAAGGAGAGCTACGTGATCTATTTAAATAACGCCATCAATTACTACAAGAAGCTTACTTGAATTATCACTTCACGTACTCTCACTTCGAGCCTTCTCTAGTACCACAGAATTTTCTCAATTTGGCTGTTGCCTTGTAGCAGAAATTTAAGAGCCGAGTTAATGAGTCTCGGATAATTTGTTCCGTCACGGGTCTCCTCACTCTCTGTCACGACAAATCCAGTTTATTCTGTGTGTGCGACTGCGCACAAGCTTGAGTCCCAAGCTAGGAGATCCCTTTGTGTAAAAAGAGGGCTGAACTGGAATGCGCAATCCCAACGGGAACTACATACCGAGATTATGTACAGAGTAAGCCCCAGTCAAGTCGACCTGCAGTCGATGAGCATGTAGTGAGCTAGACAGTTGTAGCAACACACCCGGCTTCAAACCCAGAAACTGATCTGTGTCTAGAGGATAAGGAGGCTTCGTCCAAGTAGCCGTAATGCACTCAAATAATGCTCAACATTTCGGTTCGTTTAGGGACAGGCTGTAACACAAATCTGACATCTCGAATATCCAATAGTCTTGAGTTTTCTGACAAGTGCAATAATCATGTACAGAGTCAATTATTTAGTATATTTCGGGATCCATATTGCTACATGTGGAAGTTAGGTAAGAAGCAAATTCTTAGCTAACACAACACCACATATATTCCACTTGTTAGCTAACCAGTTTCAACATGTAATATTATGTATTGCAATTCTGATTGGAAGAAGACTTTCCCCCCAGGCAGTGGCGGACTGAAAATGGAAGAAGTGGCTTATGAGATATTACTTTTTTACCAGTATATACTGGGGCAGCTGTTACTGTTTCCAAACAAAATCAGTGTCATTTATGATAAAAGAATGGAGTACTTTTAAAGGTAGGGAAAGCATTTCTTAAATTCTAAAGGAGGTACATTAACCTTGTTACATATGTAAGAGCAAATATGCCCCGGTGTGTGTAAACAAACGCTCAATTTTATTATTTGTAGAGAAACTTATTGTTTCTGTATACGTGTACATTTTCTCGGCTTTATGATTGTACTTTGTAAGCACTGAAGCAACCTAACCTTGCAGGCCGCCACTATAAGCGTTAACATAGTTTCCTGTCTCAAAGTTGCTCCTGCAGTCACAATAGAGTGTAGCCTCGTGAGGTATAAATTTTGCAATAAATTGCAACCAGAATATCCGACTTGCCTTTAGACGATCCTGCGGGACACTGCAGAACTACGTAATTTTAATCTGAAAACATCTGTTGGATGTAGGTGGCTTAGAGACTTAGAGTTCACCTCGTCGTGCAAACTGAGTTCACCACAGGCACCATAGTAACTGTAGGTGCAACAGCTGAGGCTGGTTTCGTTATATGAGACCTGCGGTTAGCACAGCGGTGGCAATTTTGCTTCCACAGTGAAAATGGACGTAGTATATACCTCAGAAACATTAATAACCTACCGAAAAACACTGTGGCAGAACCCAGAAGATGATAGTCTGAATTGGTTTTAAAAATATGGCCTGTTGGTATGTGCCTCCGTTTAGTTTGGTAGGTATGTAGGTACCTGTTGTCACGTTACATGGCCTGGAAACTTTATACACTGCCGTTAGAACGGTAATCTCATAAAATCATTTTACATTTTTTAATTAGGCTTGTCTATATCAAATTATCGAATTTTATGTGTTAAGTGCAAGGCATTCCATTTTATCTACCATGGATAGTTCAGTCGATGTAGCAGCGGGATACTGGCCGAATGATCGGGGTTTGATTCCCGTTAAGGGCAATAGTCTCTTCTATACTCCACGTCTTCCAGATCGGCTCTGAAACCCACCCATCCAATGTGTACGGAGGCAAGCTCACCGGGGATAGAGCGGCAGGGACGTGAAAGTAACAACTCACCTCCATCAAGTTTCTTCATGAGGTAATGCTTAATTGCTTTGTTGATGAATTGCAGGAACACTGACTTTACGTACAAAATATTTGGGATTTCCAGAAATGACGATGTAAATCTGCCTCGAATTTCGTACCCAGAAAACGAGAGAGTATCAACCCCGGAATGTCTGTATTTAAATTCATTTTTACAACTTCAGCCTATTCGAGCATTCTATTCTGAAACCGTGCCGCATGTTTTGAAAATTTGTCTTAAGGTGGAGTAGGGCAACCAATAATTGAACCATCTTTCTGTCCTTGTTTGTTTCGTTTATTTGCTTCCTGGATGCCGCTTGGAACAAGGTACGTGAGCAGACATGCGTACACCGAGCTAACCGAATACTTTACAGGGAACTATGCCTAGACTGTCAAGCCAGTGCACATTTAAATGTTACCGTTTTACATTTATGTTGGGTTTAATTCGTTACAATTCTATAGTCACGATGAATATTGTACAATCTTTGTAATGCAGAGCTAGGCAATCACATACGATTACATATTTCCTCATAACATGTTGATTTATCATCTGAGTGCCACAGACTTCGGAGCTCCCAAAAGTTCCAACAGGCTCGGCAGTGGTGAAAGCGAAGTTGTGTTCCTGGGGGTACCGTGTAGGGTTGCTGTTCTTCGTCAGTTCATGTCATGACAATTGTTAGTACGTGTACTAGAGCATGCGGGGCGAGAAACGAGTTGCACTAGGGTATTTCATTGCGTCCATTGGATATTGTCACACGAAAGCATAAACACGAAGTGGACGCATGTTCTCTTATGCCTGTCCGATCCACCATTTTGTAGAATAGGAGATTTCACGTTCTCACTTCGGTGAGAATTGAATTACCGTATTGTGGGAGTGACGCCGTGTGGATTGGCATGCTATGTATCAGAGAAGCTACTCCTTCCATCTACAGGCTGCCGCAAGAAAAAAAATTGGAACGGCTGGAACCTCCAGAGTTCTGAAACCAATGGCTGCTCGCAGGCCCACCGCTTCCTTCTTAGTTCTGTCACAGTCACAATCCCGGTTCGTCCCGCCCTACATCCTCAGCATTCCTTCCTCGGATTGTTCGCTTATCCTGAAGATGGAGGCAGCAGGTTCCTCCGAGGACTCGGTTCATATTTACCAAACTATGGCGCCTCACGTACAAGAAATGCACATTTCATACTTAGCACATTCTCAGTTTATTTACATCTGTCACACTGCGTGCCTGTGGAACGCCTCAGTTTGCATGCTACTGTAAGACACATTCCTCCATTCCTCCTCAATATCTGACAGCTTAATATCCCTTTGGAAGTAAATTGTTCGTCAATAACTGACTATCAGGCACTCATGTCTTCCTGTAATGCTACTCATGTCTATTATGAAACGTAGTGTGAAGCAGAGCTGAATTATTTTCGTAACACGTGTGCTCTTTACTATACTACATATATGTACAGTATATACTATGTACTGCTTGTGTGCTGTGTTCTCTGTGATTGATTGTAGTGAGGTGTGTCGGTGATGTTGATGCTGATTGCACAGAATAATAAAAATATTTTTGTTCAACAGAATTGTCAGTGTTTGGTGTCACCTTAGTCACTCAGCGTTTATATTCCGTGATTTCTATGCTATAGACATCGACATGTAACCCCGCGTGTGGACTCCGTTCACGTCACCTATTCAGCACTTGGTCATGTGACATAATTCAGTCAAAATGTCTGTCCTTTCTTACGCCAGATAGGTTGTTGATATGTCAAGAGAATTCTTGTTCATCAGATCGACCCACACAATTTATTTATTTGTACATTCTTACACACTGCACAAATATTTGGTGCATTGGCTTCCAAATTTCGGGTAATGGTGCCCGCCCATCATAGCGAA